ATATTAGTGTTGAATTAGTTAATGTTGATGTTATTGTTCTGTTCCAAACACTTTGATTTTCTTCTTCAGTATCTCCAACTATACATATATTGAATTTTCTTTTCCTATCTTTTATATTTGTCACTTACTCTTGAATTGCTTTCTATTTCTTTTATTCTTAAAAACCTATTTATCTCAAGGCCTTATCTATTTTTTATTCACAATTGTGGTTTTTCTAATTTGGTTTATTTCTGAAATGACTTTTGTTTCTACATTTTTCCCAAGTTCTAGCTTACTTATGAGTTTCAAATTCTGATTTATATTGTTTTTCATAACTTTTATCATTCTCTTATTTATTTTACCTCATTTTGAAATAGTAGTTGTATCAGCCAGTGTTCTCACAGAGAAACAGAACCAATAGAATTTATACATATGTATACTAAGATTTATTTTAGGAAATTGGCTCATGTGATTGTGGGAACAGGTGACTCTGAAATCTCTAAGTCAGGCCAACAGGTTGGAAATTCAGGCCAGAGTTAATGCTGCAGCTTGAGGCAGAATTTCTTTTCTAGGAAACCTCAGTTTTTTCTGAACGATTCCAAGTGATGGAAGAGGCCCCATCCACATTATCAAAGGTATTCTCTTTTACTTAAAGTCAACTGATTGTAGGCGTAAACCACATCGTAAAATATCCTCACAGCAAGACTTATGTTATATTAAATAACTGGGTGCTGTAATCTAGCCAAGTTGATACATAAGACTAAACCTCATATTAAGTTGTAGCTTTCATTTATTTATTGGGTATGTTCTTACAGAGATGTTATTCTGCTTTGTATTTTCTTTTTCTTATAACAACTGTGTGAAATTAGACTGTGATCCTTTTTCTGTTGCTTTTTTTTTTTTTTTACATGAAATTGATTTTCCTGATCTTTAAGGCAGGGTGGGTCAAAATAACTTTTCTAACTTCATGGCTTTAGACTTACCTCTTCTGTTGTTTTGTAAAGTGTCCAAAAATAAGGTTAATACTTTTTGAGATCTCCAGATTCTGTTTCCTTCTCTCTTTCATCTGTAGTTTTTGTTTCCTTTGTCTTTATTGTCCCTTTCCAGCTCAGTTGGGATTCTTTTCCCTTCATTACAGATCCTTGCCCTAGAAGTTATCTTTAGGTCCTTGGTTTTGGTGTTCATAGATCCCAGCTTCTCCTGCCCTTTCAAATATTATCATGGACCTCTTGGACTTAAACTTAGAAATTGAAAAGTACAACAACCTCTCTGGTTAGAGTTGCTGTCTTCCCAATGTCCTGCCATGGTTTCCAATGAATACCTATCACTGATTTAAATGTTCTTCTCTTCTAAGGTCTACCATATTTGCTTTCTTTTGCTGCCTTATGCTGATATCATGTGAGTCTGGTTGTTTTAGTTGGCTTGTTCCAACCCACTTATATTTTGGGATTTTGAGGAATACTTTGTCACTAAGTTTTATTGTTGACATTGTCCAGTGTTGTTTTGTTTGTTTCATTGGTACTACCCTAATTGTCTTCTCTGTGCCTACAAGGAAATTGGAGTAGATTGAAAAACTACATCACCACTAACCCTTCCTAATTTCTTTTCTTCTGTAAATGCCTCTTTTTGTATCCTTCCTTTTACTTTTTTGGGTTTTCTCTGTTGTTATTTTATTAGCGTCTTATACTGAAAACCAAGTTTATTCACTTTCAATCTACCTTATTTCTTCTATGTATATTTAAGGCTATATATTTCATTTTAGGAATTATTTATACTATATGCTACAAGTTTTAAGAACATTGAATGCTTTTATTCTTTATTTATAAATATTTTGTAACTTCCATTGTGATTTCTCCTTTACTTCACGAATCATTCAGAAGTAAAGTTTGGGTTTTTTTTTTTCCTTTAAGAATTACAAATACCTTAATACTTTTTTCTGGCTAACTTTATGAGAAATTCTACTTTTATTTCATTAATATCAAAGGCATAGTATATGTGATGATAATTCTTTGAGATTGGCTAAGACTTCATTTGTAAATATGATCAATTTTGGTAAAAAGTTCTATGTGAGATTGAAAAGAATATATTTTATTTTATATTGGCTAATTTTATAGGTTTATCTGTAGTTTGAGAAAATGTGTCAAAAATCTACCACTATATTTGTGGCTTTTAAATTTTTCCTGGTACTTTTATCAAATTTTGCTTCATATAGTCTATAGGTTCAATGCAATCCCTATCAAAATACAAATGGCATTTTTCACAAAATTGGAATAAATAATACTAAAATTTGTATGGAACCACAAAAGACCCCAAATAGCCAAAGCAATGTTGAGAAAGAACAAAGCTGGGGGTATCACAATCTCCAATTTCAAGGTAAACTTCAGAGCTGTAGTAATCAAAACAGTATGGTACTGGCACAAAAATAGACACATAAATCAATGGAACAGAATAGAAAGCCCAGAAATAAACCAATGAATATATGGTCAATTAATCTATGACAAAGGGTGCTAGACTATCCAATGCAAAAAAGGCAGTCTCTTCAATAAATGGTATTGGGAAAACTGGACAGCAACATGTAAAAGAATGAATCTGGACCACTTTCTTACACCATACACAAAAATAAAATCAAAATGGATTAAAAACCTAAACATGAGAGACCTGAAACCATAAAAATCCTAGAAAAGCACACAGGCAGTAATTTCTCTGACATAGACCACCACAACATTTTTCTAGATATGTCTCCTGAGGCAAGGAAAACAAAAGCAAAAACAAACTTTTGGAACAACTTCAGAATAAAAAGCTTCTGCACAGCAAAGAAAACCATCAACAGAACAAAAAGACAACCTACTGAATCGGAGAAGATATTTGCAAGTGACATATCTGATAAAGGGTTAATATCCAAAATACATAAAGAACTTATACAACTCAACACTGAAAAACCCCCAAATAATCCAGTTAAAATAGGCAGAAGACCTGAATAGACATTTTTCCAAAGAAGACATACAGATTGCCAACAGAGACATAAAAAGATATTCAACATTACTAATCATCAGGGAAATGCAAATTGAAACCACAGTGAGAATATCACCACACACCTGTCAGAAGGGCTAAAATCAAAACCACAATAAATAACAAGCGTTCATGAGGATGTGGAGAAAAAGGAACTTTTGTGTACTGTTGGTGGGAATGCAAACTGCAGCCACTGTGGAAAACAGTATGGAGGTTACTTTAAAAATTAAAAATGAGGGGCACCTGGGTGGCTCAGTCAGTTAAATGCTCAGCTCTTGGTTTCTGCTCAGGTCATGATCTCAGGGTCGTGGGATCGAGCCCCGCATAGAGCTCCACACTCAGCATGGAGTCTGCTTGAGATTCTCTCCCTCTGCCCCTCCCCCTGCTCAAGCCATCTCTTCTTTTCTCTCTCTCAAATAAATGAATCTTAAAAAGTTAAAAATAGAAATACCATATGATCCAATAATTCCACTACTGGGTATTTACCCAAAGAAAATGTATGCACCCCTATGTTTATTGCAGCATTATTGACAATAGCTAAGATACAGAAGCAGCCTAAGTATCTATCAATAGATCGATGGATAAGGAAGATTGCTTATCAAAAGATGAATGGTTAAGAAATAAACACACATACCAGAATATTACACAACCATACCAAAGGATGAGATCATGCCATTTGAAACAACATGGGTGGATTGAGAGGGTATGTTAAGTGAAATAAGTCAGACTGAGAAAGACAAATACCATATGATTTCACTCAAAAGTGGAATCTTAAAAAACAACAGCAACAACAAATGAATAAACAAAAAGCAGAATCAGACCTGTAAATACAGAGAACAAACTGATGGTTGCCAGAGGAAAGGGTGATGGTTTGGGTAAAATGGGTGAATGGGAGTGGGAGATATAGGCTTCCAGTTATGAAATGAATTAAGTCAGGACAATAAAAGACACAGTATAGGGAATATAGTCAGTGAGAGTGTAATAGCAATGTATCAGCATAGATGGTAGCTATACTTGTGAACATGGCATAATATAAAAACTTGTGCAATCACTATGTTGTACATCTAAAACTATTGTAACATTGTGTGTCAACTATACTCAAAATTTTTTTGCTTTATATATTTCAGGGTTATGTTATATCTTCTGGTGATTTTCTCTTTTTTCTTATACACTGTCATTAATCCTATAATTTCAAATTTATGAGATAGCTGGTATTATAATCCTTATTTTACAACTAAAAACACTGAAGCAGTATTTACAGATGTATATCTACATGAAATTTGTACATATGTCTGTGTACATAGTTGTTACTATAACGGTGAAATTGGGTTCCAACCCTGGCTTAAGAAGAGGACCAGGGATACCTGGGTGGCTCAGTCAGTTAAATGTCTGACTCTTGATCTCAGTTCAGGTCTTGATCTCAGGGTTGTGAGTTCAAGCTTTGTGTTGGGCTCCAAACTGGGCCTGGACACTCCTTAAAAAAAGAGAACCAATGTTGAGACTAAGACTGATGATGTTAAAAAGTGAATCAGTATCCTTCAAAAGGGGAAATAACTTATAAATGAAAGAATGTGGAAGCAGAAAAAAAAAAAAAGAAATAAGGAAATAGGGAAAATGTGACTGATGGAAGTTATAGTGGTAGAGTCCGTGATATGCAGAGTAGGATCTCAGAATTTACCATGACTTGTTTTTAAGTGAAGGACCTTGTCTCACTCATTTTTCTTTATCCTTAGAATCTACTGGAGTGCCAGTCAACTGCTAGACACTTGATTATTTTTGATGTAAAATAAAATAAGAATCATGGTTTTTTGGGGGGGGGAGACATCTGAAGTGTCTTGGAAAAGTTATTTTTCCTTTTTCACATTTCTTTGTACAATTTTAAAGAATCAAATTTTAGTTATTCTTTTTTTTTTAATAGTAAGGACCCAGGAACTTGAGCCCTACATTAGAGCACTGAGATAAAAATTTTGAAGCAGATTTTTCTGTTTAAACTATTTTACCTTCTTTTTTAGATTAAGTTAGAGTATGAAGGAACACTATTTTCTGAGTGGAGTGTGCCAGCAACTTGTTCTGTGAAAAATAAAAGGTAAGATTTTTGCTGTGAATGTCAATATAATGTGTGCATTTACACATAAAAACATATTCATATAGTGTAGACATTCAGATTCAGGGCTGTATTTGAATGTGAATTTCTTCCCATCACAGAGATGTGAAAAGAAAGACAAAATCTCTTTGAAAATAGGATAGAAGTAAAATATTGCTATATTTTTTATTTTTCTTATTAACATACAATTGATATGTTTAGGCTTAAAAAGTAGTAGGGGAATTTTTACTAATCTTGCATGTATCTATGCTTATTTATCTTCCTGTTCTTTTTAAATACTAGCTCACCCAAGACAGAACTGCGTTGTTCTTCGCCTGGTGTTCAGACTATAAGACCAATTGTCACGGGCCCAGTAAGTTGATTTTAATAAGTTATTAAATCTTGCATAATTATCTCCATTACATTTTATATTCCTTATTTTGAACTTTCAACCTGTTTTAAATAGTGTGTTAAGCATGAATAATTTATGAATAAGTATAAATAAATGTTAAATATAAATAAATAAAAATAATAAATATAAACATTGTCAGTATGGCAATTTTCAGATATATCTCATAGCAGATTATAAGTTACGAAATGCGGGGCACCTTGGTGGTTCAGTTGGTTAGGCGTCTGCCTTCAGCTCAGTTCATGATCCCAGGGTCCATCCTAGGATGGAGCTCCGAGTTGGGCTCCCTACTCAGCACGGAGTCTGCTTCTCCCTCACCCGCTCCCTCTGTGTGCTTTCTCTCTCTCAAATAAATAAATAAATCTTTAAAAAAATAAGTTATGAAATGATATGTGATTTTTACGTTAGCCTTTTCATCAAGTATGTTAAAGCCCCATTTACCACCTTAATGATAGTAGTACTCCCCACTGAGTGGGTCTCATGTCATATACTTTTATGACAATTCCTTGGATTAAAAGCCATTTCTAGTAAGTTTGTTTTTACTATATTTTCTTCAATTCCAGAAAGCATATGCGAATGCAAATACATGAGAGGGATGTTGAATCCTCTCTCATTTACTAAAAAGAAAAAGAAAAAGTTAAGCATTAAAAACATTGGCTGTCTACTAATTAGTAACACGTACTAGCCACGCACCTCATAGCTGATATTCCTATACAAGTGTGTCTAAAGCTACTGCCAGAGAGACTCCCTGTGACAAATCTTGTCTTTATTTTGGAGATTGAGCCTTCTTTTTAATTAATAATCTTTATTTTCAGAAAATAAGTAGAGTGATGTGGGAGAGGCCAGATGAATATTAATTAATTCATTTTTTCAAAACTTGTAGATTGAAAAATATTTGAATTTCGCTTTTGAGTTTATGAATATTTACCAGGTTCATGGACAAAATTCCTAAGCAAGTAAAAGCTTACTCCTTTTCCTTTTGTTGTATGTTGGAAGCCCAAATGTGCAATGTTATATAGAAAATATGTACACACAAATACATGCATATATAAGAATATCTTTGTCATTTATGCATGGTGCCATCCGATCTTACAACTTTTAAGGATGTACATGTAACTTTTGAAATACACTCAAAAGCACTCAGATACAACAACCAAAAATGTCTCCAATGTCCCCTGGTGAGGAAAATCATCTCTGATTCAGAACCATTACAGAAGAAAATTAATTGAATTGTGTTTCAGTAAGCAAGACTGTCTAGGAAAACTCACTATTTACCTTTATACACTCAAAGAGAACACTTCTATTACCAGATGTGGTGTGGGGGCTTGGTTTCCATACAGACTATTTCTGACACCAGTGGAGTGTCCTACAATTCCGAGTTCTGGCATATTCTACACAGAGTAACTTCACATCCCACAAGTAAAGGGCTCTGTCCCACAAGACTGCCCCATTTCACATGACAATTGCAAGTTCCAGTTTGTCACCTGACTAACTGGCTATAAATCCAGGTTCCCACAACCTTCTCCTCAGGTTCAATAATGTGTCAGAACAGCTCAGAGAACATTTGCCAGTTATAATAATAAAAGATATGATAAAGGATACAGATAAGCAGCCAGAAAAGAGGTACGTAGGGCAAGGTCTGGAAGGGCCCTGAGCACAAGAGTTTCTGTCTCTGTGGAGTTGGACTGTGTCACCCTGCCAGCATGTGGACGTGTTTACCAACCTGAAAGCACTCTGATTTTTATGGGGACTTCATCACATAGGCATGATTAATCAACTCATTTTCTACTCCCTCTCCCCTCTCCAGAGGGTGGGAGGTTGACCTAAAAGTTCCAAGCTTCTAATGATGGCTTGGCCTTTCTAGGGACCATCCCATCCAGGAGCCCACCCAGAGTCGCCTCATTAGAACAAAAGGGGCTCTATGTCAGACCCTCCTGTCATTCAGCAGATTATAAGAGTTGTAGGAGCTCTGCATCAGGCACCAGGGTCAAAGACCAAATATTAGCAGGAACGGGGTGCAAAGACCCATATGTACATGTTTCATGATTTCACAAAGACAGATATAACAGAGGGGCACCTGGGTGGTTCAGTTGTTAGGTGTCTGCTTTTGGCTCAAGTCATGATCCCAGGGTTCTGGGATCGAACCAGGCATCCGGCTCCCTGCTCAGCGGGAAGCCTGCTTCCCCCTCTCCCACTCCCCCTGCTTGTGTTTCCTCTCCCGCTGGGTCTCTCTCTGTCAAATAAATACATAAGATCTTTAAAAAAAATCCTGCTTAAAAAAAGACAAATATAACAGAAATAAAAAGCTATCTAAATTTGTCACTCATGACAAATTAAATTCTTTTTTTTTTACAAATTAAATTCTTAATTACAAAGAGTAGCTAACAGTATTCATTAGCTCTATTCTGAAATTTGTTCATTATACTACCTTTGATCTTAGATAATTAATTCAGTTCCTCTGTGACTTTTATGCCTGTATCCAAATTTGTATTTATTTTAAAGTTACCTTTATATACCATAGTTTATTTTCCATTTGCTTTCAGGATTCAGAGGAAGAACGCAATTTGTCTGTGGACAGTTCCCATATTTGTTTCCTGTGGTATTATAAAGTCATGTAAGTAATGTAATACCGAATACAAAGATAATTAATGCTTTTTTTTTTTAAAGTCCGAAGGCAGACATTTAATGACTGAGCCACCCAGGCACCCCAATTAATGCTTTTTAAGAGTATTTAGCTTTGGGTACCTGGATTGCTCAGTCAGTTGAACATCTGCCTTCAGCTCAGGTCATGATCCCAGGGTCCTGGGATCGAGGCCCACATGGGGCTCCCTGCTCAATAGGGAGTCTACTTCTCCTCTGCCCTTATCCCCTGCTCATGCTCTCTCTCTCTCAAATAAATAAATATTTTTTATTTAAATATTTAAATACTTTAACTTTGAATTAGCCACAAATGGATTATCTGCATTATTATTTTCATATAAGCTTTTCATTCACCAATCAAGATATACTCAAATAAGATGCCAAACTCATATTGGGGAACAAACATTAAAAATAACAATAGCAACCACTATTTGAACATATAGTTCTAATGTTCAGACTTTATGTAAATTATCTCTCTCAGTTTTCATAACAAACTCACAAATGTAAGTATTATTATCTTTATTTTATAAACGAGGAAATGTGAGCTTGGATAGGTTAAATAATTTGGATAAAAATACACAGCTACTAAAACATAGCACTGGGATTTGACTCTGGTTTTTCAGACTACTGGGCTCTTTGATTTCCATTATATACATCCTGTTCCAAAAGAACACTCTTTGTTTTGGATGGTTTCTCAAAGCCATTTTAACATGAAAGTGACTGAACATAACTAAAAAGAGGAAACTGTCACAAGGGAAGATAATTAACTGCATTATAAAATTATTTGACAAGTTAAAAGCATCAATGAATCCAAATATTTTTCATTGTCAGAGTCAAGGCAATATCCTAAGCTCTGTATAGGATACAAACAACTTGGCCCTTGCTCTCCAGATGACTGTGATACACATATTTCTTTTTCTCTACTTAACTTTCCTTCCTTTGGGAGAATCATCCCTCCCCTATTCTGTGATGAAATTAATTTCGTGTGATTGATATGGTACTAACTCCACAACCTCACATTTCATGGGCCACAGTAATTAGTTGAGGGTTAACACATGACTCAGGCAGAACCAATCAGAATACTCTGTCTTCAATAAAAAGCATGGTTGTTGCTGATGGTGGTCCCTTAAAGTCAGGTGGCTTGGCAGTTTCTGTGCACTTTTTGGATCGAAGTCCTGATAACTAGATTTTAGCAGGCCCTTCCAGGAGTACATATTTAGCCATTCCTCTCCAAATTATTACCACCTTCCCGGAGTCTTACCAAGAAGCAAGGACTGAGTCTCTGCTACTCCTGAAACTGGCAGATTTCTGTCCTTGTTGTGGGTTTCAGAAATGCCAATTACCAGGTTTCTCCTGTGGATTTTGAACCAACTGGGAAATAGACAAGGGAAAATGTGGGGATAAAAATTCCTGATACGGCTGAACGGGAGAATAGAACCTGCCTCTCCGGCCAAATGGGCTATTTTCTGCTTCCCCCAAGTAGACACCATGGGGGACCATCAGAGAAGAGAATCTGCCAAAAAAGCATTTATAGACAGTTTCCCACATTTCCAATCTCACACATACTGAGCCCCAAGACCTGGTGAAAGAGATGGGCCTCCAGATTACCGCGATCTGGTTATGGATAATGAAAGCAAAATCAGAAGAAGCACTATCCAGGGGGGCAGTTTAGCCCAAAAGAGAGAGCTCAGTGGGAGCTAAGTGTTTTTCTGTTACATAGGTGGTAAAAATGTTCACAATCTGTCACCTGTAAAAATACCATTTAAAGAATAAAATGAAACTAATATCCAGGTATTCATCACACAAGTCAAGAAATAGAACATTATAGGTACCCTAAAATCTGCTACTTAGAAATGCAGAATCTGGGGCCTCATTCCCAAGCTCCTAAATCATTATGTGCATTTTAACAAGAACCTATAGACAATGTATGTACAGTACTGCTTAGGACGTACCACTCCTAGTGGGATGTACCACTCCAAGTAGAATTGACTAGAAGTAGGATATACATTTGCTCAACTTTACTAGTTAATGCCTAATTGCTTTTTGAAAAGATAGTTCAAATCTACACCTCCACCAGCTGTGGATAGAAGTTTCCATTGTGCTGCATCCTCACCAACACTTAATATAATCTGACTTTTTAATTTGCCAATCTAGTAGATGTGAAATTATGTCAATGTGCTTTTAATTTGCATTTCCCTGATTACTACTGAGCATATTTTCAGTTATTCATGAGGAATTTTTCTTTCCTCTCTGTAAAATGAACATTTTTACCCATTTTTTAGTTATTTTTATGTTCATAATAATTTATAAGATTTCATTACATTTTAATTACTAGGACATTATCTATACATTTCAACATGTGTATTGAAGGAGTTCTATCCCAGTTTATGTAGCTTTTCACTTCTTATGATCTCAGTTGATAACTTACACCCTTCCTATTGTAGATGAATTTATCAACTCTTACCTTAATGGGTTTGTGAGTTTTTAAATCAATTTAAGAAATCTTTTCCTCCGAGTTCATAAAAATAGCCTCCTATGTTGTTTTCTGAAAGTTCTTAATCCATCTGGAATTAGTTTTTGCATATGCTTTGAGAAAGAGATCCAGTTTTATGTTTTTGACATGAATAATTAATTTTATCAGACCTAATTATTGAATAATATATTTACCAATAATGCCTACGTAGATAAGTTTTCCATGTATGCAGGTTTCTTCCCATCAGGCTATTCTGTTCAGCTGATCTATTTGTCTACTTAAATCAATACTACATTATCTTTATTACTATGATTTAATTTTGCAAATCTTGATAAGGGGCAGTGCACCTGGACTCTGACCCCAACTCTTCACCTTCTTCAGGAGTCTCTTAGCTATGTACTGGGCCCATTTTAACTCCCTATGAATTTTTAGAATTGGTTTCTCAAATTCCACAAAAACTCTAGTAGGGATTTTTATAATTGTCTAAATATTTAAATCAATTGGAGAGTCTTTCAACTCAATAATATATAACCTTCCATTTATTTAGGTCTTTTTACATGTCTGCCAATAAAATTTTATAATTTTTCATGTAAGTGCCTGGACATTTTTATTAGACTTATTTCGAGATGCTTTATAATTTTGTTGCTATATACTCAGTTTTTTAAAGTTGCATTTTCTAACCAGACCTTCCTGTTGTATAGAACACAATTTACTTTTGAATATTGATTTTTGTATTCAGCAACCTTGCTAAATTCTTATATTAATTCTAATAATTATTTATATATTCTCTTGGAATTTTTATAAATCATATCACCTGCAAATAATGGTAGTTTTGTTTATCCTTTTCCAATAACTATACCTTTTCTTTCATCCATTCTTACTGCATGGCTAAAATATTCAGTATTCTTACTGCACAGCTAAAAGGGTGAAAACAGGCCTCCTTATCGTATTCCTGATCTTAAAAGGGAGGCTCTCATTGTTTCACTATTTTGCAGAATATTTGTTGTAGATCATGAATTAACCTTTTACCCAGGTAAGGAACTTCCCTTTTATTCCAAGTTGGTGGTGAATTTTTCTTAGGAATCAGTGCTGAAATTTATTCAGAGTTTTTTTCTGTTTGCATTTAAAAGCTCATATGGTTTTCCTGTTTTACTATGTTAATGATGAAAAATAGTTATTAATATTCATACATTAAACTTACCTTGTGTTTCTAGAATAAGCCAACTTGGTCTTGATGAATTCTTTCATATACATTGATGGATTTTGTTTGCTAATATTCTGTTCAGGTTTTTTTGGTGTGAATACTCTTAAGTGAAGTTAGCCTGTGGTTTTACTCTCATTGTACTATCATTTTCCACATTTGCTATCAAGACTGTGCTATACTCACCACGTAAGTTAGGAGTAGTCATTCTTTTCCATTCTGAGAGATTTTGTGTAAGATTGAAATATATACGTTCTTTGAGTATCCGATGGAAATTTGCACAGAAGTTTACTTGAATCTAGATTGTGTGTGTGTGTGTGTGTGTGTGTGTAGAAGGATTTCCTAAGTGTTAATTCAACTTTCTAATGGTCATAATGCTATTTTGGAATTCTAATTATTGTAAAATCCATTTTTGTAAGTAGTATTTTTCTAGAAATTTATCCATGTCTTCAGTTAGCAATTTTATCATCAACTTTAATATCAAAAAGTTGTCTGTACTATCCTCCTATATATTTTGGCCTTTTGAGGTAGTTGTAGTTATGCTTCTGTTTTAACATTTCTAATAATTTTATTTGTGCCTTCCTTTGTTTCCATGTCCTTGTGGTATTTCGATTTTATTAGTCTTTTAGACTGGTCAAAAGAACCATCTTTTGGCTTTGTTGAGCTTTTCTGTCCCGGCTCATACTTCCATTATTTCCTTCTTTGAGTTTGTTTTTCTGAAACTTAAATTGGCTATTTAGTCCATTAGGCTTGAGGCTTTTTTCCGAATGTGTATGTTTAAGGCAATCAATTTTCTTCTAAGCATCTTTGTAACTGCTTCAAGTATTGCAAATACCTCCTAATTGTGATTTTTCATTATTGCTCAGAAATAATTTTCTAATCCCTGCTACAATTTGTTTGACCAATGACTTGTTTAGAAATGCAGAATGGGAGAAGATATTTGCAAATGACATATCAGATAAAGGGCTAGTATCCAAAATCTATAAAGAACTTATCAAATTCAACACCCAAAGAACAAAGAATCCAATCAAGAAATGGGCAGAAGACATGAACAGACATTTTTCCAAAGAAGACATCCAAATGGCCA